CTGACCACCTTTTTTTCCTAAAAGCAGTATCCACAGTTTTATATGAATTTATAGCAGGATAAAATATCTCATTTGACATGTCCCCGCTGGCGCCATGTCACTCACTCAACGTCTAAGAATTTTCTTCTTTGGTCCCTGAACAGCGAAAACGTTCCAAGAGGTTGACAGTGATAAGCAGTGTGGACACTATTTTGCGCTTCAAGGCCGTTTTCGAAGTTATTTTTGAAATCACTGGCTAGAACATGGTCCAGGGGTAAGTTGATTTCCTGAACGCAGATATCGCATCCGTTTAGCGTAATAACGACGGATGTCTACGATTTAGGCTAAGTTTGGATAGGTTTTCAAAGAGTTTCGTACTCTGACTGGTCACATAACTCGCTCGTAAGATTGAGGTGGCAATAATGATCTTCATATATGCAACAATTATCCAGGCTTTATCAGCATATCTAGATCTCTTTTCAAGATTCCATTAGTACGGGCTTATAACCTTGGGGAGGGCACTTAAATGAACTTGCGCAAAACTGGAACTTTTTTTCTCCGCCCCGGAAACCAATCCCCTTTGTTCACCATCCTCGGGCCTGATCTCCCTTTAGACTTGAGCAAAAGCACTTTTCTCCATAGTGAGAATTCAGCTTCGCATAGAGAGCCCTTTATATATCCCCCCACACCACTGCCAAGTTTACGAGTATTTGACCGTTGTTTGGTAACTAAACGCCACTATTCACAGTATATACTTGATCGGCAACTGTCTTCAAATTAAGCTGTCGGAAAGCTGCTTCAAATCAGAATGGGCCGCGCATCCGACTCTCATTCACAGTTATAAAAGTTTGAAGCGATGCGAACATATGTGCAAGAGAATAAGTTAGGTTGCGTTCATACTTTGCGGCAGCGTCCACCAGAGACAAATAGCGTGTGCACCAAGCCGCCGCACCGTTACCCAGCAGACAGGCGGTAGAGTTATGGGGAGGTAGGAGGAGGTGTGTAGGCAACGGATCGTCGGGCACTTTTGGCGCGTGGCCCTGCGAAATATTGCGCGAGAGGGGAAGAGTGTTCTAGCTGTTTGAATAGGGTTTTGAAGGAAGGGAAAGTATTGAACCAGGATCGAGTCTTGTGTTCAGCTACGGTTAAGTTTTCAATTAGAGTATGAAAAAGGTCAATAGAGCACGAAATTCATTGGGGTCTTTAACATTTGCTCTGGTTTGTCATCTTTTACGCAGTCACGAAACCTTGGCCACCTGTCTAATATATTGACGCTGGGCGATTTGCGCAAATCATGTGAACCACATAAACAGAGGGAGATCCACAGCCTTATCTGATTTCTTTTGTATCTGTTTATTTCCTGAAGTTGCGTTTATGGAACAGCCAAACGTGTTTTACTATCAAGAAAACATCATTAGATTCAATCATTGGTGAAACTCTAAGCTGCGTTTAATACTTTGGCCAGCGTAGGCTTTCAAGCGTACGCCAGCGGACAGTGCCGGGGAGAGGATGGATATCGATCTAGCGCTCCCAGCGTCACCAGCGTAACGCTAGCGTACGCCAGCGTTTCTCCAGCGTTTCACCAGCGTTTTGCTGGCGTTTGCAGCGGCAGGGGAGTAGAGACTATGTGGCCGTAAGACGCGCAATCGATGTGTATTGTAGAGACTATGTGGCCGTCAGAGACGCGAGTCGATGTGTATAGTAGAGACTATGTGGCCGTCAGAGACGCAGAATCGATGTGTATTGTAGAGACTGAGGGCGAGTGAGAGACGCGCAATCGATGTGTTTTGTACCCTCCAGCTCTCCCATAGTCTCTACTCCCCTGCCGCTGCAAACGCTAGCAAAACGCTGGTGAAACGCTGGCGTACGCTAGCGTTACGCTGGTGACGCTGGGAACGCTAGATCGATATGCATCCTCTCCCCGGCACTGCCGCTGGCGTACGCTGGAAGCGCTACGCTACGCTGCTGCAAAGTATAAACGCAGCTACATGTTGCGGATGTACGATGCAGTAAATCAAGCTTGCTCCGTCGCGAAAGCTATGGCCGTCGCAAATGCGCGTGAGTTGCCTGAGTCATCGTGACGCGCCGCGTGCCGCGGGCGCTGTCCCGGACGATTCTGTTGCACGTCTCCCCTTAGGAGGCTACCAGCTGTCTGTTGGCCTCCTATCGCGCCTTCTCTCCTCTCCAGAGTTCGACAGACGCTAGATCGATATTCTCCGTAGCCCTGCGAGACGGTTGGACGGATCTTCAGGACGCTCGAGCCACTGATGGACGTAATGTTGGTGGTGGACGCCTGCATCACGCAGGCTTGGATAGGTAAAGCACATTGGAACCAAAAGACGTTCAAAAGTAAAAAGTTAAGGACATGGCATCGAATTTGCCCTCAGAGTGCGGGCATAGGAAAGCTGCGGGGGCTGGGGGGAGGGGGACGGTAGGGCTACGGCGCTGCGTTCGCACCAAGACCCAACACAATCAACATGGCAGCAGCGCGCCCACTCCCCACGTCTGCGTCTCACAAGTCGGCTGGCTCTCTCTGGGCCTGACTAGTCAACTTAGAAGTTACTCTGCGTCTTTGCAGCAATACCGCCACTGAAACCCTCTACAGCTTAAGGAGGCTTTGCTCTCCCTTTGTGCTCATGCTGCCGTCTGCTGACTGTCGCTGGGACAGCACAATATTGAACAACAACAACAACAACAACCATTTTATTCACATTCACAGATAATATATTTTACAGATACATCGATCCACAACCACATAGAGGTCTAGTAAACACTAGATCACAGCTTTAGGTTTTACACCGTTCATCAATGCAACACCGCTCCTTAATGCACACCTAACCAGTCAGAAATACCAGCGCAATTAATCTATGATACAGTATTGCGTATCAAAAAAATAACGCAATATTTGGAACAAAATTACATGTTCAGCAGTGGTACTGCATGAACAATGCGATGAAAATAATAAATTTTAACAAATGATTTCTGAGTCCTGTGAGGTAGTTCTTAGAAAAATACTAGCATCGGAATATGCTTTAGATACTGCGATTGCAGAGTCATATGCATCAGAGTGGTCAAAATTAATTATGCTACTGAACTTATAGTTCGCAAAATCCACATTCTAAACAAATAAACAAACTTTCGGAGTACGATGTTCAGAACAAACAAATCACTGATCTTCCGTGACAAGCCCATCGTCGTCCATAATGGCGACCTGGTCCGGATCTTAAAATATGGGATTACCGACAACAAATAGACAGCTCGCTGCACACTCAAAAGGCAATGGGCACGATTGCTGGAGGCGGGGGGTGGGGGCGGTGGGTTACTGTCAGCGTCATTGGTGGAAGGGGTGCGACAGGGCGTTTGGCCACACCCCCACTCTGCCCTTACACTAATGACGTAGGCGACAACTACCGACCCCAGAAATCGTGCCCACTGCCTTTAAGTCAGAAAATTAAACTGATTTTCGCCCCACTAATATAATGTGACCTATGGAATGGTAGCTAAGCACTAGGAGAGACATGCAGAAAATACCCTATTTTCTGAAATCCGTGTACAGGGTGCACCTTCTCCTTGAATGCCGCGGACTTTTTTTCGCCTTTCCTTTTACGTACTTCCTGTTTGTTCATATTTATATGGTCCTATATTAAACAAGAAGTGTTTGAAAATCAATTAAAAGACTAGAGTTCACGTAAAGACCAAAAAGCTGCTACTGTGTTCAGGAACTTGTCGCGCGCGTTGTGGCGTGGGTCTCGTCTCGGCGACTCAGCAAGTAAGTACACCTTATACCTCAGAAAAAAAACCAGTCTTGTTCGTTGCCCATGATGGGGCGTGTTGAAGGGTGATGGGTTTGGCGCGCGCCAGCCTTTTTTTCTTTTCGGCAAGCGACAACAATGTATCATGTCGTTGGTAACAGTCGTTTTCCACCAGTTGTTGCCGCTTACCCGCTTGGTGGAGAACGGGCCAGCAGCTGGTGGAGGACGGGCCGGCCGCGCGCTATACCCAGCCTCACTGGCACGCCCCATCACCAGTAGCGAACAAGATGAAAAGCGCCGTTGAGCGCAAGTCATCCTCTGTGATCGATTCCAGGACATGCAGACCCAGGAAGGATCAACTCACGCCTTTCTGGCACCCTTATCTCGGAATTCCAAGGAAAGTAAGTTCTAAGCGAATGTGGACCTAGCTCCCAAATACGCGAGGTAATCTCCTCATCAGGGCAATCGCAAACGGGGTCCTCCAGAGCGGGGAAGTAAGACAAAAATATACGACTCACCCTCCGCTCTTCTGCCTCTTCGGCCAATTTGTGATGGTATAAGTGACAAAAGTGTTATGAGTGCTAAAAGTAGACATCCACCAGGGACATACACCATAATCGTCCGATAGAAGACTTGGCACGCATGATGTGGCTGAGTCGGACTAAACGGAATCCGTATAGAGCGGACATTGAGAACAATTATATCTCTGAACGGCGCTAAGAGAGTTGGGGCGGAGCACGCAGAGCGACTATGCCACGCCCACTCTGTTTGTCTGCGCTGTCTAAATAACGAGCTCGTACTTGGGAAACAAACATTGTCTCGGCAAGAGGACGCAGACGAGCAGAGAAAGCCGCGCCCGCGTCTGCTCCCCTTGAACTCGTAAAGACATCAAAGTTTTTGCGGTCCCTCCCCAACTCTTTTAGCACCCCTCTGAAAGCAGAAAACTTACTCGCACGATGGATTCCATAGTTCAATGATCTGGTAGGCAACACCATTGGCAAGTTTATCGACAAAACTCATCGCACCGTACACGAACGCACCACTTTCCTAATAATGAGGAGTACTTTGATTACTTATGATGGACAAGATGCAACTCGCTTACTGTGTTTCTGTTGATTAAATCAGCAGTAATAGAGAGTGAAGTTACCAGTAGAATTGATTGCGTGACACCTATAACAGATCAACTACAGCCATCAAAGACACGAAACTGAAACAAAACTTAGTATCCTCAGTTGCACGACCTTGCACGACGAGCACGTGCCAGGGTAGGTTCCCTGCCCACAATCTCTTCTAACCAGTGAATGATTTCAGCTACCCTTGAACTCTACATGTAAATAGAAAGCCTTGAATCCTGGTTGCGGACATGCTGATCAGAAATGCCGTGGGAATCTCCCAAACATTTCTGGGCGGGACAAATTTGCCGCTAACGTGGTGATGGTTTGTGAGCAGAGACGGGCCTTCAAAGGGACAAGGGCTGCTGTCATCCAGTGGTAACCGTCTCACTTTTCACACGAGACGAGACGGGTTCGCTCTCCACCGACGTGAAAACTTCAGCTTTGCCTCCAATAAGCTTTTAGTCCAAGTTTGGACAGTCTTCAAATTGGCAGCGTAGAAGAGCGAGTAGGGCAAGTACACGATGTGGCAGACCAAACAAGAATTAGTCACTACCGCCATTATCACTGAAGTGCGTAGGGACTTGTTAGCGGCCGTGGGTTTCGGCGCTTCGCCAGCCTCTTTTCCATCTATTGTTGCGGCTTCGGGAGTTCAATGAGTGGTGAGGATGGAGCTGCCGTCGCGTCAAAACCCACGCGCCGCTGACATCCCCGACTGACTTCAGTGGTAACGAGTGTCTACTCCTTATGACATTATCATAACAATTCCGAGATTGGTTCGAAATCTCAACCCGACCAGAAACAGGTCCCCGGAGGAAGCTTGTCCGCTTGAGCGCAGATGTCGCATCCTTTAGCGGAACACCTAGCGCCTGCGCCACGTCATACGGGCGCTGATGCTCAGTCCTCGTACCACCTAGCCGCTGTTAACTTCCAGGAGTAGCTTGACTCCCTAAGTGCGAAAATGACGTCTCCTCAAGACGAAACGCTGGTTGTAGAAGCAGCCTTTCAGCGTTCTGCATTGTAGGCCTCCTTCACATAAGCTGGTGGCTAGGCACAAAGGGTGTACCACATCGCCACTAAAAAGTGCGTACTACGAACGAGTGGGTTTGCGAATTAAGGTGAAACGCCTCGTCCACACTTGAAAAACACCCACATGCGCAATGGCTGCACGATGGTGCGGTTGACTCTAGCGCCCTCATTGTTTGTGTGCATGCTCTCCAGCCCGCTGCATGGCTTCTAGCCTCGTCTGCTACTTCTTCTCTTGTTTATTCATATGCTCGTCCAGTGCTCAGAATTTCATGAATTAACGGGCCTTGCTCAGCCTTTTTAGGACAGTTTCTTTTGGTTTCCTCACTGGTTGCTCAACTGGCAACTATAAATTCGAATTAGAACCCCTTCATCCTACAAATCTGAACCCTACCACCCACAACATGCAAGCGCAGAGTATGTCTTCAAGCGCGCCGCTGAGTACAGACAACAAGGGATGCCGTTTTACATTCACGATGTACACAAGAAAGAAATGCAAAGTCAAAATAAGTACAGATATTAAATTAACGTATTAGTCGCCTGGCTACGAATACATCTGCAAAAGAGTCAGCTCATAGAGCATCCAAAAACATGTTCCTAAGCCGCATAGCACTCCCAGAAGGAATAGGAACTGAAAATACAATTATATCCTTTCAAATAACGACATAATTATTCCTGCTGAAGAACTAAGCATATTCCATGTGAGAGCTATCGTGATCAATGAAACAAATTTAAGAAGCATACCTTCCTGTTGATCAACGTGTTCAAAAACGGTAGTCCATTCAGGGTTGAAACAAGAAATGAACAGAGATAGGAGACCATTGGAAATATTGCAACGTACTTCTGAAACAGTTTGTTGTAAAGTTTGTCACTTCGTCGCGTTCGAGGCTGCGCGGGAAGAACGCTACGAACTTGTGACCTAGGGTGCACTCCTCCCTAAGCGATCTGTTCCCGCCCCCTTCATAACTGCGTTTGACAACGAAAAGACAGGCTAAGACAGGAAATTATGAAAATTCTAATCGTGAAACAAAGGTGATAGGGGAGAAAGTATCCATAGACAAAAAACTTTCAAACACGCACCCTCTTCTGCTCGTACAATGCTCAAAATTAAAATGGTAGAGGTATTTAAGGCAGTAGCGGTGTTTACCAAGTCGTTTTCCTTTGGAGGCGCGCCACTCAGTACTTTCTGTTTCATATTCGAACGCGATTACAGCCTTGTTCGCTGGATGGTGGAGCGTGTCAGAATTGGTTTGGCGCGGTGCCAGCACGTTTTCTACCGGTTACTGCCGCTTTTCCCCTCTCCAACAATGGGACGGAAACGGGCTGGCGCCACGCGAAACCCAACCTCCTGATGAGCCTCAAAATCCGCAGCTAACAAGAATATACCCTTTTTCGCCATCTTACACTGAATGTGCTCTTAAAACTGGATCCGGCGCAGGATATGTGCAATAGCTTACCTTACTGTAGTTCTGAGTCAAGGTAATATAGAAGGGGAAGTACACTTGCGACACATTTATACACAAACGGGACAGCATATACAGCAATGCAATCTGAAAAATGTACTATAGCAAAATGTATTTGCTGCTCGGAAATTAAACTTCTACCTGATAAAATTGTATGTAACCAAACCAACTCGTCCAGTGCATCCTTATTAGCTCACTCGCATCGGAAGAAAACGAGTTCAAACGACTGAAAATAGAACGAACTAAAATAGTAGGAGTCCTTTGGATCAAATTACACTCTGACCTCAACCTTCTACCAGTCTTCGGTTCACGAACTATTGCATAGAATAACATGGTCACTAACAAACCAGCTCCAACAACAATAAAGCCAGCAGTCTAAAGAGGTACAGCTAAAACTGGAGCCGAAAAATGTGTTTTACTTCTTCTTTGCCTTAGGAGGTTGTTCGACGGAACATTTATTCAGCAAGGTCTAATGGATAGCGCACTCGCCCAGCCAGCGGGAGGCGTGTTCTAGTCCCGCCTAGTGCCTGACTTTTGCCCATGAACGTTCTTATGATAACTTTCGGAGAGTGAACTACGGTGCTGAGTAGCAGTTGCTAGCTAGAACAGCTTCAAACTTGTAATATACAAAAATAATGACACCGCAGAACTCCAGTAAACTGTGGACAGAATCTGCATTCCAGAGAGGAATATGGGCCAGAAAATGGATATGAGCACGCACTCCGTTTGTTGGGAGAAGTCGCGGAGGGGGCGCGACTATGCCACTCCATGTCTGCTCGTCTGCGTCCTCCTATCGAGATGATGTTTGAATCAGCTCGGAACGTCCTTACGCATATTTCGCGCGGGTGATCGACTGAGAACTAGAAATGGCCTACACGACTACTTGGACTTTTTTGGAGGATCCTGTAACTTCCCGTCCTGAAACTCTGCTTCGCAGACGGTAGAGAGCCAGCGGCCATTAGGGAGAGCATCGAAGGGTGCGACACGTAGGGTAGGACAACAGATTGGCTTTCCCAAGAAGAGCAGACTCAGGGGTTCAACAGCTATGTACCATAAATAAAAAGTTATAAAGCGCAAGTCACAGGGGTAGAAAAACACCACGCAGTCCAGAACGCGGACAGCAATGGAAAATGGACGAAAATAGAGGGATTGAGCTCAAGTTCCCCGCAGACTGTCTCACTGAGACAGAACAGACGAGCAGATATGACGTGGCGTAGGGTGCCCTCCGCCCAAATTTGACCATTAAATCTTACTAAAAATCTTACAAAGCTAATAAGTTGACCTTTAACCGGATAAAAACCAACCTGAAAATGAGTGAAATCATATGGACCAATCTCCGAATGGTCAGTACTTTGAGACAGGAACCATGCCAAGACCACAAATACCGACAGGTTTGCAATTACAGTGAAAGAATACCTTCAAAAAAGTTGTGAAATCTTTTTAAGGAAAAAAAACACAAGCACAACTACCTTAAGGAGTTCATTGTAGTTCGACTACTATCGATTGAAGACAACTCAGGAATTAATGCTAGATGTGAGATCTAAAATGGCTGTTAAGAGGAGGTATTGTATTAGGAGGGAGGGAAGACACTCAGCTACGGCTGTGTTCTCACCCCTAACCAAGGCTTAGCGTTGACTACAGACGGGGAGAGTTGCCGTGGGTAGTCATAATGTTCACTATGCCAAATTCCTGGTTCAGGAAAGGGAAGAGAGACGGTGCCGAGTGTCCTCGCCTCGTCCGAATATACTACCGCCTGTTATGGACACACATCTAAAGAACAATTTCTACCTGGACTGAGGCCCAGCCGAATTGAAACAGCATAATGAATGGTACGAACCACAGTACTTTGTACCACTCATTGCCAGTATCAGAGCACACAAAACAGCGGTTAAATATGAACGGAAAAGACAACGTCACACAAAATGTACCTATAATCAGTTTGTAAAGTCTAGATAAGCGTTACGCAGAAGCGTTACAGGGGGAGGGGAGTTGGGCTTGTTGACGCTGCCTTAGCCCGTTCTCCACCAATTGTGGAAGCTGGCAGGCGACCACGTTCGATGGAGCACGGCCTGGCGTTTCGCCAAACCCAGCCCCACTGAAACGCCCCAGCGAACAAGACTGCAGACCAGAAACATAGGGGGCTACTGGAGTTGGCAGTGCAGGCGCGATTGAGCACACTCGTATGCATACACAGCAAAATAGTAGCTCTTGCTCGCCAAAGGCCCAACTTTAGACCGCGTTCATTTCTACAGTTACGCAAGGTTAGAAGAATAGGAGATTAAGGGAATGGGAGGTTAGGTTAGTAGGAGAACCGCGACAGAGGAATAGCCTGGAATCGATCGACTCCAGTAGCCATCGAGTTGGGAGAAAATGAGAATAAAAGTCGATCGATTCCCATCTGCACCATTGGCGCGCAATCTTCTATTCTCCCCATTTCGCGTGTTGTAAGTATGATCGCGGTACTAGGGAGAGCAGGCGGTCAGAGTGGGCAGCAGGGCACATCGTTGTAGGGGAATCCCCACAGGATGTCGTATTTGGTCGCTGGGAGAGGGGGGGTCGTATTTGGGCTGAGAAAAATTTATTTTGATAGTTGATTTTTCTTGTTTCACGGACGTTGTGAAGGAGAAGGGAGGGGGAGGGGGTCGTATTTCTCTTACGACCATTTGAGAGAGGTTTACGTGGTTTTTCCTTTTCACATGTGCTTTTACCCCCCGCCGCTCGACAGCTCGCTGAGTGAACCAGGGGCGGGGTCGTACCAACACCCCAAAAAAGGGGGGAGGTCGTACGGACTCGGCCAAAATCCCCAACCAATGATGTGCCCTGGTAGGCAGAACCCTTGTCTCACCGAGGTACCCCTCTCCCAACACCGGCAGCACCAAAGACAACTGATTTCACTTTTACTGAGTGTTAGCAGAAAATAGACGCATTCATGCGGGTATCAAAATAGTTACTCAGCCTTGAAATCACGTAAAAACAAAATATGAAATAACGAAGTTACCAATCATATGCCAGGAGATGCGGCGACCAATTTTATCAACCCATCTTGGTAACATACTGGAATCGCTGGCGATCCCAACAAGAGGAGTTGAGACCGCATCGGTGACCTGTAAAGAGGGTAATGGATATCTGAGATGAATTGCTCTGAAATAGCGATATCAGGAAACCAAGGTTCTGAGACTCAAACTGAGAACTAGTGGGAAGTCGGTAGACCTAGAGCGTCACATAAACTGGCCGAATATTAGTCAGCGTAGTCATTCTCAAAGGAGGGAAATTCCAGGGAAACACGCTCATGACGCGAGAGTGAGCTCATACTCTGCTTCTGCGTTATGAGCGTCTGTCAGGGTTCAGAGCGTTTTCAGCGTTTTGAGCGACTAGGAAAGTATAGGCATCGATCCAGCACTCTTTAGCGGTTTGAGCTCAACGCTTTGAGCATCAGCCAGGGTCTTGAGCGTGAGACTTTGACAATATAGGTATCAAATATCGCTGAAAACGCTGACGGACGCTCAAAACGCTGGATCGAAATCCATCCTTCCATAGTCGCTCATAACGCTGACAGACGCTGAATACGCTACCGCCAAGTATGAACGCACTTTAAAACAGACAAGTAGTTCAAAATGGCTGGGAAGGGGGAGTCAAATGAAGGAAGAGGTCCGGGCTGGAGAAACGACGCCGGTCAATAGAACTACATATCACGAGTAAAGTGCTTATAATGGTCGAGGGAGGTGAGGGATTGGAGGGAGGAACGGAGTTCGGGTTGGAGTAACGACTTCAGTCAGTAGGACAACGTCTTAAGGGGTATAGTTCGGAATAACCAAGTCGCGGTAGTGCACGCAAACTGGAAGAGTTTTCCCCTAACTAGTTTACTTGACACACTGCAGCTTTGCAACATTGAATCAATAGCTGCTGGTGCGATTGGCGCGCATGTGACACTATTTGCAACACTTCTTTTGGCGCCCTTGCCGTAACTCAGATGAGCTAAGTAGATCCCGTTCCCAGAAGTGCTCACAAGAGATGTCAGGCATCCCAGAAAGCGGAATGGACTCGGACAAAAACTTTCAAGGAACATAGTTCCACTGCGGGTGATCACGCACGGACCACTCGGTCCACCAGATGGGCAAACTTAACAGTAGACTGAAAAAAAAATTGAGACAATGAAAAAAAACCATTTGATCTCGTTGCACTGTTCCGTTACCTGGCCGATAAGCATTAACAACCCAGCATGAGAGCTGCGAAATCTCAGAACTTTCTCCAGGTAGATCATAAGATATGTGAACCACATACTCGCGCATAGGTCATTGTAGAAATGGCCGACTCCTGAAAATGCAAAACAAGCCTTTCTAAACAGACAGCAGCTCTCGTAGGACCTACCGTAGCCAAACTTTCTCCACCATTCAATGTCATGATCATGTCTTGATCGACGAGAAGGATAGTCCTGAAATGAAAGGCTCGTTTGCAATTCTGCCCAATCAAAATCTCACATGTGCTCCGCCTGGTCGCCGAAAAACCATACAGTGAAGTGCTGACTAAGTTTCAAGTTCATCAATAAACCTAGAAAGCTACTGCAACGACCACAATCTCGTTCATTGTGTATGAGGGGCGTGTCAGGCGATATGGATTGCGCGCGGAGCCAGACCCATTAAGCCTGACACGCCCCCACACCCGCAGTGAACACGGCTGTACGTTTCAGTGTACATTCTATGAATATGACCAGAAATGATTTGAACTGGTCGTGACACCACTTGCAGTAAGCAACCAAGTCGAAAGGATGTGATGTGTGAGAGGAATCGGTGATTGGTGGGTTTCTACGTGAACCAATAGCAGAGACATCATGAATTCAAACCGAATCTCACACCAGACTTCACTGGTGATGAAATTCGCCCAAAAAGGTATCACTGCTGATTCTCCGATGCAGACCCAACCGAAAATCGTTGAAACAAGGACCACCGAGGTCCAGGGCTGTATAACCACAACGTCTGTGCTGTTCTCCTATCTCAAGTGCTTCCAACAACAAATGAAGAGAGTAATCAATCCCAAAGGACCATCGAATGCAAAGAAATCATGTTTACCTGAATGTCATCGTCACCGCGCACCGGTATGACGTCGGCCTCGTCATCCATTTCCACTCACTCGCAGCTCTGAAAGAACAGCTAGGAGAAATAGACTTCACATGAAGCAAAATAAAGCAACGACAACTTGCGAATATTAATAAAATCAAAACGACAACATAACACATAAGCACCAAATAAGTTGTTATAATTTATTCAAATGAAACGCCAATGTGGATTGGAGCACGAAATCTTCACGAGGGTATCGGCTCTTCGTGGGGTATCGGCGGAATCTTTCATTTCAAAAGAACACAATAATGGATGAGTTTGATCAGCTGCATGTTTTATAGAGCCGCATTATCGAGACAAAGCTTGCGGGCTGGGGTACATAAAAAGGTACATGACTAACTAGTTACGTAACTGCGCTGCACAAATGCTGCTCTGATAGGATATCTGAGTAGATTTTCCCGTATATGACCTGGTTTAAGATTACAACTAATAAACAATCAAAAGAAATAGAAACATGAGATCCATATGATGGTAAAAACTGAAGCGATTTCGACCAGTGTAGTAAAACGAATCGATCGAAATCTGTCGAAAACGAAGTGCGACGAATTAACCGTTCAACGTTTATGATTCATCCCTTCACTCGTTGTTTAACTCGTTGTTTACGCAATCGATAAAGCAAAGTAAACAATGCACAACATTATTGTAACATTCGCTCCGCGGTGAAAACCGATCTTTCTACAGATTTCCTCTTTTCCCCGCCGTCTCCTATATCATTTCCGCTTCATAACATTCAATTATGCGCGAAATTGCAGCGCTATTACAATATCGTATACAATGCGCTTTGGTGCAATAGCTCGTGCGTTTTACAGAAATCACAATTTCGCACAAGGAGTGCTTTAAAGCCCCGAAATGTTACGAGCTTCGTTTCAGTTTTCGAACTCTTTACATGTTGGACAGCAGGGTTGCGAGCCAGGGTTTGATCGAGATGTTGGCCGGATGGGATGATTTTTGATTTTTGCCTAGGTTTCTCAGTGGGTGAATCGACTTCTCTCTACAAAAAAAACGTTAGGAACCCTACAGATATTCCTTTTTGTAAACGCCCTAGGATGAAAAAAGCATGTCGTGATTTTTACTGTATTGGGATGTCTGCACTATACTGCCTGGTATAGCCTTGTTCGCTGCGGATGATGGGGCGTGTCAGTGAAGCTAGGCCAAATATGTTTTCCATGAGTTGGTAAAGCGACAACAGTTGGTGAAAAACGAAAGATACGAATTCGCTTGCCTCAACAACTGGTGGGAAACGGTGTTGGCGCCGTGCCAACCCACCGCTGCAGGCAAGCCCCATCATCCGCAGTGAACGAGACTGTACATTTGAAGTAGCACCCAGAATTGTTTTCATATGAAAAATGATTTGAGACTATCAATGCAGCAGGACGCTATACTGACGAAAGACTGCTAACACTTCATCTCTGCAGGGCGGAAGGGATTCCAAGGAGCAAGCATCTCGGCGCTAACCACAATCCTTAAGCTACTACACTTGACATAGCACTCCGGCTTCCAACAGTTGTTTTGCGGCAGACTTCGTCTCTCACCGTTCATCACCCAAGAACTCAAAGAAACATTTCTGTTGAAACTTCGCCCGAAATAAGGGTGGTTTGATGCCCCGGCAACGAATATTGCACTAGTCTTTGGCACTGGCCCCATTTGGTGCCAACTTGGTGCCATCACCTTTTTCACCACAATCGGTGGAAGCATACTGGGATTATTCCTAGTCCCGATCACGGACACGACATTCGTTTGGCACGAATTCGCTAACCTCCCGCGTTACGGGCGAAAGCACCATGCTTTTTTGGGTTGCCTGGTGGAATCTGAATTGGTTTCGGAAGACTGGGAGTGACCGTTGGATGTGCCAATTCAGCAGTCGGTAAATCGGATCCGTTCCCCTAACCAAGGCTTCCGTTAACTGTAGGGTAGGTCCCTTCCGCGAGACCACCACTGGGCGACTCTAGTCGTCTGCGTTCTATGCCCAAACCTTTTCTAGTGGAACGGACACATATTCGAGGCCAAGTGCCCCTCTCCTCTTCAATCAGGGCAAGTCCTGCCGCTGGGGAAATTTTTGGGAAACACTATCCGCCCTTAGGTCCGTCCTCTGCTACGTCTCCCCCTCCCCCTTCCTCCGCCCTACCTACACTCTTGCCTCACTGCCAACTGCTTTCTAACACGTCTTTATCGAAAGCTCCCCGAAATCCCAAGATGCTCCAGTTTTCCCAAAAATCAAGTTTTGTCGTTGAGGAGGGGGGAAGGTGGGATACATAGCACCAGAAAAACGGGAAAAACACCGCGTAAAGTAAAAAAAGCCAGCAGCCCCGGAGAGTGCGGCAACTTTCTGTCAAGGGCGAATACGCAACTACGACCCTCCCTTATGGAAACCCAATCATGTGGATAGCGCCCGTTAAACAGGAAAAATCCACCATTAGAAAAAAATTTTATCGGACCAAGTACGACCCCTTCCCTACGACCCCTCCGGGACGTGGGAAATCCCCTGTCTCCTTTCGCGCACGGTTTTATTAAAGAACGACAATTATCTAATTAGGGGTAATAAAAATTTGAAATAGAGAGAAGCAACGTGGGTGTCAAGGTGGGTGAGCTGGTCCACGCGACACAGCGCCCTTGCTGACTACAGCCTGGTTAGAGAACCGCGCCAACACTTTCGCTGCAAAGCCGGCATTCGCTGCGGGACCCGTCTGCCGCT